TCCACTTTTCAAGTGTAAATTTTTGAGGTCTAAGCTCGCCTTAAAATCAGTACTACATAATTATAAAAAGACTGCATCACTGAAATTTTAAGTGAATAAAACTACACACATTCAAATCCGTTCTCATTCATGGAAAGATTACAAATCTTCTGGTGGCGTTCCCTCAAGAAAAATTAAAGATCTTAAAAATTTATTTGCTAAGATCCGCATAATAAAACAAAATGATGTGTTATAACTAGATTAAAGAGCATCTACCACCCTCTCTTAATTGCGTGCACTATCCCCATCACCATAAATCTCAGCAACACTATACTAGTAAAGACATATCACCGTCGATATAATGGCACGTTTTTCGCTTTGACACTCTGAAGTAAACTACTGTGGCTGACACTTTATAGGTAAAATACATCATTTTACTTTGTTATGCGGATTTAGCAAATATTTTATTAAGATGTTTAGTGTAATGGATTTCCATAAAGTAACATTGATTGGAGATAACGAGACGCGTGATGGGCTGTAATGATGATAATCATTTTATTATCATTATTATAATCATAGCAGAATTGTGAGAAATTTATAACTATATATATATATATATATATATATATATATATATATATATATATATATATATATATATATATTATGTGTTGAAACTTGTTAGACATACACCTATGTCCCTATCTTCCCTTATCCTTGATAAGTTCTCGATCATGTGTTCTTAACTGAACGCTTACTAAGTGTAACACATGGCGAGTGAAAGCTTAGCGGACACCGGACAGTTAGAAACTTCCTGTTACTGTAGTGGTCAATTATCAAATAGTGAAAAGGAAGACCAGTTCCAACTTAAGGATAAAATGCTGGGTTCTTCCCAATGTATAACATTTTACAAAACAACTTGTCCTTTACGTTGCTGTGCACAGGCCTACCTTAATTTCAGTGTATTATTGCAGGTAATAGACTAAAATAAAATAACCCGCCACGCTGCCCCAATGCGTGTTTATGGAGTTTGTGTGTTCTAGAATTTGTTTTTTAATATCTTAGACATGCTAGTTTTTCACGATTTCATTTACCACTGATCATATATTTTATCAAAATAAATTACTTTTTTCTGTAAGTTATCCAAAGTTAACAAAATATTAGACTTTTAAGAATTAATAATGCATAATTTTCTGTTTTATCGTGTCTTCTATGTGCGTTATATAACATTTGAAAACCCGACATGAAAAAAGTGTGTCACGGTAACTAATCGTTCTAATTAAATTTAGGGATTTCTTTTTCGAGTAATTGCAACTAATTCTTGAACTGTGTTTTTGTTTATTACTAATATAAACTAATGGCCAGAGTTACTGACTAGATCGCCCCAGATCTTGGGTTTGATTTGTAGTCCGAGCAAAAATATGCTCCGGAAAACAAATTTTAATTCTCCGAGTTTTTCTTACAATTTCACATTGTAGTTAATATTTTTGATCTATTATATGCCAGTGTTATACCAATATACCATCTGACGGTACGAGGCGATTTAGCCGAAAATGTTAAAGCGCACTAATTTAGATGAACAAAAAGTAAAGACCTTAGTTCTTGCTCCGAAAACACCAACATCTAAATTCGTCCCGTAAGTAGTATGTAGAGTGCCCCATATTTAGAGATTTGTGACCTTTCTAGGCTGATGAATATTATTTATATTTAAAAAATCATTTTAAGTCAGTAAAAGAGCATTATAAAAGGGAAATGGGACAATTATTCTATATAAGTATTGGCAGACTTCCAATTTCTTCGAAATAATATATTAATTTGTCAAAATGCAAGTTTCCTCACGATGTTGAACATTACAATCGAGCTCCTTGTATTTACAAGTCAGTTATTTTAAGGGCTTATTTAAGCACTTAAAATAACTGACTTCTGTAAAGCTTAGGGGGTTATTTAATGCTACTATGGCCGTTTAATGAAAAGGAGAGATCTACTGCCGGGCAAGTTGTTCTGCCCGGGGAGTGGCCAATGCTCCAAGTGGTAGTTCGGAGCTATCTTATATATACTGTTCTACTCCGGAACTTTGATAGCGAGATTTAAGCTTCGATGTCTTTCGTTTCTGACGTGACGATAGCACCCACCCGTCTCCAGAGACCGCAGGTCGATAGTGCAGTCTGATTGGAGGTACGTCCTCAATGCCGGTGGGGAATGCTGCTGCATGCTGTGTGCGTAAGGGCAAGTGACGCATGTACGAAACTGCAAGTTATATTGATGAGAACGATGTGCTGGAGCAACTGCCAGAAGTCTAGCTTAAATCTGCCGTGAATCAAGATAAAGACAAGTTGGAATTGCTTGTAGGAACTGCAGACTGCAGAAGACGATTCTCAAGATTGAATAGTATTGGTTCTTGAGGATAATGACGAAGGCTTGAAGTTGTAATTGCCGAAGGCTGTTGGTTGCATGTTCACATCACTTCGGGGTCACCAGTTTGGTCGTAGTGGGAAAAAGGTGAGATCTCCCGCCGGGCAAGGTGTTCTGCCCGGGTAGCGGCTAATGGTGGTTAATATAGCGCATAGCGCCATATTGTAGCGAGCTATCTCTTCATAACACATAGCGCCTGTTATGTAAGTAGTCGCCATGGCGCTATTGTGCTATGGCGCTTTGGCGCTATCAAGTATTAATATCTGGCGGCAATTAGTTCTAGCAGCAGCGGAAGAGGACGTGTGATGAAAATATGATCTCGTAGCGCACTATTCATCGCGCGCGACCTAATTTAATGTTAGACGTTGTTTAGTTAGTGTATACTGTATATTTATAAATGACCAAAGTACACAGTTGTGATAAAATAAACCTATCTAATGTTTTTAAATGTAAATAAAATATAGATACAAAAGTGTATATAATAGTGTATGTAAATAATTGATTTTTATAAATACAGTAAATAAACTTTTAAATACACCTTTATTTGATTTATAATTTATACTAAGGTTAAAGTAATGTTTACATCAATTATAATAAAAATTAATTAATTTTATTTCGATTCTAAAATAAAATTAATTCTATTTTAAATAGTACATAAATTAAAAATATTTTTAATATTATAGAAATTAGTAAGCCTGAAAAGTATGAGAACGCGTGCATTGGTTTTTATTTACCGCTTTATTTTATTTTAGTCTAAAATGCGACTTATTACGAAATAATGTTCTTATATAGCACGCGATCTATCCAATGAACGACGTGTAATGTAACGTGCTGTAAAACTTTAACGTGCTCACCGGCCTCCTATACGCTTTCTTATAAATAGCGCGCTATAACATAGCATATTTAATAATATATAATCCACCTTTTTTAATTAATTTTACTTAAATGTGTAGTGTTCGCGTAAGCATAAGACATCATTAAATGTAACCAACTTCAAATTATTTGTGTATCTGTCTGTCCGGGATAATCTTCAGAATGGTTGAATTGATTATAATGAACTTTTAAAAAGACAAGAGATCAATGCCAGGAGGGATCATTTAACAGGGAAAATATTTTATCCAAAAACCTAGAAATATAAAAAAGAAAACTTAATAAAATATGTGTGGTTGCGCGGAAAACGAGTACCGTCGCATTTTTTTTCAGTTAGTAACCAGCCGGTAAAGTCTCCTATCACATCCGTTTCGCTTTCGCATGGGCCTGAAAGGGGATGAGTTAGATAGGTGGCGTCATTTTTTCGCCCAATGTTAGGCGCGCCCCGTTTACATGGAAGTGAAGACGGCCGAAGAGGTTAAAGGACGTACGCTGCCGCCGCTTGTCTAGTTGCAAAGCAGTGTCACCAACCTCTGCCAGGAGACCAACCCCGGTAAGCACCCACTCCTATAGATATTGAGCTGTTTTTTTTGTTTCATTTTGTTGTGCTTTCCCTGGCAGCTCATGTTTTCTATCGTACCAGATAAATACAGTGAGTAAAATTATCGCGAGTGTATTGTCCATAACCAGCCATGTGCCACGTCCACCATTTTGTTTGAGTTTTAGCCAACCAAGCCCACTCTAGTTATTCTCACAGAAAATAGTTTGAAGCTATTGTCCCCGGAAATCAAACTCAAGACCTTGTGGCCTAGCCATTTTGTGGTCATTCGTTCCGAATTCAAACCCAGGAACCCTGTCACTCCACCAATTTGTGGTGTAATAATACTACTAATGATAAAAGCCCATTTAACATCACACACAACTCGCACCGTATTCAGTTAATATGTCAGTAATTTTTTTTAACTATATTGTTCATACAACCAACAGTACGTTATATATAAATATTAACAGAAGTTTTCAAATAATCCATAATACCAATAACAGGTTCTTAGTTTATGTAAATGTAGATACTATCGCTTGTTATAGTTTGACAAATTAATATTATTAATTAAATAGTGGTTTAATATATAAAAGTCATTTCAAAAATAAGTTTAACAAAAAAAGAAACGGGTAATATGCAGAGACAGTAGATATATATATATATATATATATATATATATATATATATATATATATATATATACAAACTGTTTATTATTTGACATCGGCCTTAGAGTTATAAGATACGTAACCAAAGAAAATATAATCACTACGTTTATTAATTTTATTAATTATAGGATCCCAAGCAGGTGGTAGTACCCAGCCCCTTCTCTATTGAAATTAGGATGTTACCACCTGCTTGGGATCCTATAATTAATAAAATTAAAACTAAACCCAAGCATACCACTGCAAGACTTCAAAATACAGTTAGTTCATTCTGCGTAGATCGGACCAAAGACAATAATTAAAAAGGTGAAGGTACTCCGGGTTAACTTTGACATCGAGATGTCAGTCACCTCAGTCCCCCGTGACCGTGGGTGCTGGAAAGCACCCGAAACGTCGGGTATTAAAATTAATATAAATAAAACGCGATTAAATCCGTAAAAATAGTTTTAATCAATGTATAGTGTTCGCGTAAATATAAGAAATCATTATCGATTCAAGAAATTGATTTGTTTTAATTTATACTCAATAAAATAATGGAAAACATTACATGTAAAAAGCGGCAAAGAAGTGAAAATTGGCTGGAGGAAGATAAGGTTGGTATGTGACTAAAGTAATTTTCTCATAGGTGCTTAGTGCACAAATGTTAGTTAACTGTGTTGTTATAATAGTAACCTTTTTCTTTCCATAGCATTTATTGATGGATTTGGTAAGGGAGCGTGTATCAGTAATTGAAAATAAAAATACTGATACAAATACAAACTCAAAAAAGCTAGCAGCATGGGCAGATTTATTATGCAGGTAGCTATTTTTGTCTATCAATTTGTGAAGTGTTTGAAGATGAGTCTTCAATGCAATGATATTCTATATACGGTTAGTTACACTATTATGCAACAGAAGCATGTCACTTCGTCTCTTGCTGGTCTGACACCAATGAATTTGATTCTAATGAAATAAATCAGGTATTACATATGTCAAGATTCTAAGTTAAAGGTCGCAAGTTTTATCTCTACCCAGTACAAACTTTAATGTTGCATAATAAATATATTTTTTTCCTTTTCTACCTAAATAAAATACCTACTAAAGTTTACTTAATGATATAGTTATCAAAAAATCCATGCTTAAGTACATTATTAATTTAATTATTTATTGCATTGTTTGTAGATTGGGGAGCCATCGCAAAATGAAATCAAAGTGGATGGGATAAATAAACTTGTCAATGTTGAAAACAAGTCTTCAGATATTGTGAGCATCCGTAAAGCATTGAGATAGCTAGCAATTTTCATATTTTTCATACCTATTTTATTTTTCTATTTTACTGTTGTTGGACACAAAAAGTACAATAAAGGATGTCACAGTAGAAATACTTGAGGAGATACAAACTACACGAGAGGTAAATATCTGAAAATGTCATAAACCAAGTACTTACTAAACATGTGCCAAAGTGGGAATCGAACCCATAACTTGATTTGTAATCCTGGATTGTAAAGTTTAGGGATAAAAATAATAGTTGAATAAAAAATGGTCCATTTAAACTTAAATTTTATTTGATGAAACATTTTATGTGAAAGTATATTTAAGATTAAGTTAATGAAAACATGTTTCTTTTACGGTTTCCTTTGTTGCAGGTTGTATCTATTGGCTCAGCACCAAAACCACTCTATACACCATCTAAGAAACCCGAAAGAAAGAACAAAACTGAGAAGAAGGTAAATATAATGACCTCTACTTTAATATGGATTATGTGTTTAAATACCCAAACATAACTATTTGTATTTCAGACCTCAGATCATGCACAGAAAGTATAGCCAATACTGAAATCGAGTGCAGGAAAGAGGTCCATCAAGCCCAAATGGCAAATGAAGAAAGGAAAGCCCGAAACTTGGACCTCTATGAGACATTAATTAAATTCAAAATTGAATATTATAAAAAAACTTCTAGTTCTTGAAAATAAATAATTACAATTAAAATGTGGAGCTTACTAACTCATACCCTTAATTAGCTAAAATGCCTATCGATAAATGCTCGTAAAAGGGCATTATTGGAGTCTTCCTCTGACCTCACCAATTTGTGATAGAAGTTCAGCATCCACAATTGTATTGAGTTCATCATCATGATCTGAAAATTATATTATTAATTTTATTATGTAAATAAATATTGTATTCATGAATGACTAAAATTATTTGTGTGCAAATTACCTGGTACCGAATCCTGTTGTCCTATTGCAATATTGTGCAACACTGCAAGAGCCACAATTGTAGGTTTCACATTTTTCATGTGTACTGTCATGCCATACAACAGACTTTGAAACCGCTGCTTCCACACTCCAAAGCAACGTTCAACATAGTTTCGAGTGGCAATTTGTGCTCGATTATATTTTATCATGCTCATTTTGTGGTCTTAGTATAGGTTCTTTTTTTATATAGAATAGGCTGACAAACGAGCACACAGTCCACCTGATGGTAAGTGGTTGGCTGCGGCCCATAGACATCTACATCTATCTTCCATTACAAATCAAAATGCAGATGCGTTGTCACCCGTGAGGACTGAGATGGAATGCCTCATTTTCAGTAAAAAGGGTCTCCGGTTCTCTACACTCACCATACGAAATACAGCAGCATTAAGCTACTATTTCACGCTGGTATTCTGTGAGAGCGTGGTCCTTCCCCGGTCGAGCCGACCCATTCGTGCCACAACTATACTACTAATATAACTGCAGCATGGCTCTACCACGTAGAAAAATAGTGTGAATAGATATGGCTCTAATCGGTAGCCTGAATCTCCTAAGAGTCTCCCTCTAAAATCTCTTCTTTCAAAGCGCTCTTTAAGAGTGGATTCGTTAAAGATACGGGAATCATGGGTTATGTATGTAGGTAAAATAAATGCATACAAAGATTTATATATACACATATATATGTATATAAGTAATATACCACCTGGCAAAGAACTGCATTGTATTATTATATGAACTTACTTGTACATTCAATGAATAAAATCCTTTTCCGTTTTATATAATACAGAGCTGCATCACCACCAGATTTCTTTATTTTTATGTGAGTACAATCAATGCAACCCAACACAGAAGGGAAATTTCTTATCTCTAAGAATTCCCTTATAACCCTTTGTTCTTCTGCCGGAGAATGCGGCATTTTTATGTACGTCTCAGGGTGACGAGCAATCGCGCGAGCTTCTCTGGCACAAATGCGACTCACAGTTGGTTGTGTTAACCTATGAAGGTCTCCCCCATCATCTTGAACCTAAAACGGATAGGTACAAAAACGTTTACACACTTATATATGGTATTATTACTTGTATACTACGAGTTGAGACTTACTTCACGACGTCCCCAGCATCTAATGGCTGTTAACACCTGCAATTCTGGTGATGTAACACAACCCCTTGGGTCCAGTTGTAAATCCTGCCTGACAAGATCAATTATAAAAGATGTCGTATGTTTATTAAAGCGGTATCGCTTTTTGAACTCTAAATCGGGCAAAGAAAACGAATCATATCTCTTCTGGTAAACCTTACGACGATGCGGAGCATTCTCTAGTTGCTCCATAGCTTCTCAAGCTTGTAGAGCTTGCATATCGACACTTTTTAGCAATCAAAATCCACAAAAAACAATTTCACCAACAATAACTTAAACTACTTAAACAAACAGATGCTCGTTGCTCGCACGCAAATCGGCCATATTTTTCTTTATTACAGGTTTATAGTTGGGTGGACCCTTCTATAACTTATGAAGCCGTTATAGAACACTTATAATGCGTTTTAGAGTTATTAAACGTTTATGAATAATATTTTACGGGTACCTCCTTATAACAAGCTAATAAACCTATTTTAACTTTTTATGAATAAGACTGTATATGTATACAACGCATCTTTTATTTTATTAACTCCGACGAAAAAGAGGGGTTTATAAGTTTGACCGCCTTATGTGTCTGTCTCTGGCACCGTAGCTCTTAAACGGGTGAACCGATTTGGTTGCGGTTTTTTTTTATTTTATTTTAATGCAAGATTTCTAGCAGTGGTTCTCAGACATATTTTATCAAAATCGGTTCAGCCGTTTGGAGATCACCAGCTTTTTTATTTCCTGGTTTTTTTTTAATTTTAAATTGATTTATTTTATTTAATGTATTTGTAACACATTATATATAAATTGTAGTTTTCTGCACTCGTTCTTCATATAAACATCAACCACATCGCTCACTATGCAATCTCACACCGCAATGGGTAAAACTTCATGTATTTTCTTTGAAAAAAGTAGAAAAAAAGAGCAAGAAGCATTTTCTATTGTAGCATTAGAATGCGCATATCCCTAATAAAATGAAGTCACTCTTGGCTTCTGAAAAGGTGGATCTTGTAACACTCACTGTCCATACCTCGTACCATGTAATTTCTCTATCTTCCTAAAATCAAAGATGAAGTAACAAGCACGTAAAAACATGCCCTCAGACCAATGATTTTAAAAATAGTTTGAACAATTGAAAATGTTTAAAATGTAACTGAGAATATTCTGAACAGCAGTTAATAACATATAAACATGTATATAATTTTTTTATGGGTTGAGCTAAACATTTTTTCAGCTTAATCATTTGTTGCTCTACTACGACTGTATTTCTTCAATAGTATTTTAATGCTCGTCACTTAAAGTAGAAATACTCTAATGTTTTTTTTTAAACTCAAAGATCGTTGTCGCCATTTCAGCTAACGATTGTTCCCATTAACCTTCTACCGACTGCTTAGATCTACTAGAATTTACATACTAACGAAAAATCTCCTACACACCATGGACTATTAAAATGTAAAATATACAACTAACTGTCTCGGCAGACATTATTCTCCTCTTTCAGTAGGATACTAAAAATATAATGACTCATTTGTCGTTTTAAACCATAAATATTTGTTAATGACTTACAGCGCCAGCGCCGTTATAGGTACCCAGCGGTGTGCATATGTGAATATTGAGGTCTTCAGAGAAAGCTCCAGAACCTACACCTTCATTTGTTTTAGAACCATCGGTGAAAATTCTAAGCTCTTTTGGGCTTAATCCTTCCGGCTGGCTATTTTCATTTAATTGTATCTTGTATTTCTTATCGAAAACAAATTGTTTAGGAATCCTATCGTATTTGGCTTGTAGGATAGGAATTTCTGAGTGAATTCTATCAATTATGCCTGTATGAGGGACACTATTCTTACTCCAAAGATTTAGGGTCTTGAGTCTGATCCTAGCATTCCTATAGCCTCCTAACGGATCCTAGCATACCTATAGAACATCGTCTCTATATAGAAATTATACTAGAAATACGCATTAGATCTTTTGACATTTTCATTTCTAAAGTTGTAGTGTCAAACGAATTTACATTCCACCTGATGAGGATTACCACTACCCATGGACATCTGCAATTAACTTCCAACGAAAAGGGCTAAAGATGCACTGATACTTCTGCAGACTAAGATGAAACGCCTCACAGCATGTAATTTTATTAGCTCACTGTGTGATCGGAATCCAACAGTGCAAGTGCACTTTCAGCGGCAGAAATAGGTAAGAGAGTGATTCTTAGATGGAATGCTAATCAGAAAATTGGGCCTACCACCTAGAAATATCATCTTCCATTGTCACCTCTTACGACACCCTTGGTACGTAGTGGAATGGAAATTTTCACATACACTGTACTAATCTTATAGAACTATATTATTATTAACTCTTTAGCACTGAAACTCTCAAAATAAATAAATTAAGATGGCTTCGTTCCAATAGTAAAAGTTATATCTACGCCTGCTTAATAGTTTCAGTGTATGCTGGTACAGTGTACACTTTTATATGCATATAAAAGTTGTACGAGTAAGAAATGTAGCTTTAACTAAGTATTAGTACCCTTTTTATGCACATTTTCTTAAAAAAAAATCGAAACCTGTTTGTACGTGGCATAAGGAATGTAATGACGCACTTTTAAGACATCCGACGCCTGATAAAATGAACTAGGTCACAGTAATGTTCATGAAAAGGCAACAAGGGCTAAATATATGTAGGGTACATAGTAGCTTTATATGCAATTAATAATTGAATCTTTTTTATTTACGAATATCTATGAAACTGTATACCTATTGAGTATTTATACTTAAAAACGAACGAGAAGGTTATTTTGAAAGAACATGTTGAGAAATAAAATTTTACTTGTATTTAGATTGCATGTGTGCTATATATTAAAGTAATAGTTAAAAAAAACTGAAAATAAATACTTCAATTGTTGTACTATATACAGTCCTACTGTTATCGCGGCTGCGTTTCCTTGTTGAATGGCTATACGGAGATTTTGAGGGAGATTTTGAGTGGAAAAATAATTAATTTTCACCAGAGACGAAGACAAGTCGTCCATCACCACACGTAGATTACACGGACCCATTGCATTTACAGCAAATGGCACAAATATGTAATCATCTCTCCGAGACTCTGACGCCGCCTTGGCTCTTAACGTGGTATCCCTGATAAATATTATTCAGATAATACGAAATTCATGTTATTGAATTAAATTGTAGTTCGGCCACATGTTTATTAAGATTCTTTTTGTCTTGATAATAAGCAGAAACGTTTCAAATAAAATAACTTTTAGTCCATGGGTAGTGAAGGAAAACGTCGTGAGGAATCCTGAATGTCTGAGAAATAAAAAAAATATTTCGAAGGCATGTGAATTTCGCCAACACGCAATGGGGCAGCGCGACGGACACTTCCTTGCCATAAAATCGTTTTAGAAGTGACAGGAGGTCTTTCTTCAGCAGTGGAAAGTATATAGGCGGTAAATTTAACTTTATATGACAATATGTAGTGATATAAACTCAAACGGCTCGATAATGTAGTTGCTGAACATTTGGCTGCTGCGTTGCGGAGTCGCAAGTTCGATAGCCGAATATCTGAATTGTATCCGAGTACGAAGGTGTCCAAATTATATATGTCAAACGCCTCTACAATATGGAGAAATGGGTAGGGATTAAAGAGAATTAAAGCATATGCCAAAATTATCTTAGCATAATATATGACCGGAAAGAGGATATGAGTAGGAATATCTTTGTGATAACAAATTAATAAATTTTCGGTTGCCAACTTGCTTAACAAGCAGGGCAACTATAGCAAATATTGCTGTGAAAGGCCACTATAGACTGTTTATTTGTAGACTTTCGGTAATTTGAATAAAAATTGTGTATATATATGTGTCTTTTTTAAATGTAGCAACTTTATGCATAGCTACATTTATATTATAAAAATTAAAAATGTTAATGTGGAGATTCTCATTTTCGTTTTTATTTATAACAATAACTTCTGATAATATGGCGAAGAACTTTATTACAACAACATTGTAAGTGTAAACTGCCGATTTCTCGATGATATTTAATTCACGCTAGTCTGTTCTACAGGATTAGCTCTACAATTGATAACATCAGTAGGCAACTGAAAACATAAGACAAAACTTATAACATTAGAAAACTATAAAAAGTGATTTTTTTTAATTTTGTACTAACTTTGAAAACTTGTCTAGATTAACCTAAATATCTACAAACATTTTTTATTTAAACAACATGCCCGTAAAATATGCAATATAACTCAGACACTGCCTTTCATCTGGCTAGCTATTCTGAAAGAAGAGTTCTGCAAGCAAGTGGATGAAGTGGTGATGGGCTCACCTCTATCTCCCATAGCCGCCGATATACATATTCATGGAAGACTTTGAAGAGAAAGTCCTGCATACTTCTTCCATAAATCCAAGATTCTACAAGCGGTACGTAGATGACAATTTCACAACTCTACCTATAGATAAAATAACTGCATTTTTAGATCATCTTAATTCCACAAATTCTAAAATTCAGTTCACAATGGAGTTATAGGCAATATATTCTTTAGATTTTCTAGATGTGTTAGTAATTGGGAATTCTGATAACATCTTGAGCCACACTGTGTATAAAAAAGACCCATACAGAAATATCTTTAAATGGTGATTCTCACCACCATCCTTAATAGTTGGCTACCGTGGGTAGCGTTGGATCTAGCGCCTACGTCACAATGAACGATTGGAGCCGGTTCGGACAACGACGACCATCTACAGGTTCTGTAGCGGTAAATTCTAAACCGCGAGTGATGTGGACACACTTGTTGTTCCATTAAAAATCATAACTATGATCGAAAGTGAAATAAAAGTCACATAAAGTGTAAGATAATTCAGATTAGACCGTGTTAGCAATTATGTAAAGGGTGGCCACTCAGTTATTAGAGTGACGATCTGGTAAAATCTGCAGGAAGCCGATGGATGCAAGTAATTTAGGGACAGGTAGCTCTGGACCGTAGCATTTCTTGTGGAAGGCCTAAGTTCAGTAGTGAGCGTGTGATGGGCTGTGGTGTAATGATAATGATGACGATAATAATGATGATGCTGATGATAATAATGAATAGCCTGTTTGCAAATCTAAAAATTCTCAAATAATTAATTCGTTTAATAACGAATTACTGTGTGTCCGTTTGTAACATTTATATTTATTTAATATTATTCTACAAAAAATAACGGACTG